GTGAGCAAATTGGAGTAGGCATTGGGACTCCATCTAAATTGACTATATCTAGATATGGTTGAAGAACAGAAATACGTTGCAAATTTTTAGTTATACCTTCATTGCTTGCAAAGTATGCACCTAAAGCATATTTTAAACACATATCATCTTCTATTTGAGAGTTATCTGGATTGATAGTGCATTTAGTATTGGCAAGTTTTTTGGGAGTAGGAATATATGATCCACCAGTAGTTCGTCGAAGTATATAAGCCTCAATACATAATTTTTCTATTCAAATTAATTGCATGTCTGATTTATCATTTAACATTTCCTCAATTTTTTTATCTATTTTAGAAGCTGATTGGGATATATGCTCATCTATATCATTTTCCGTTAAAAGAGGACGCATTTTACTTCTGTGATAACAATACAACATATCCTCCTTCTTCGATTTTGTATAATAACAATGAGCAATTAATGCAGTTTTTATCTGATCCTTTTCATTGAGCTCGATTTTAAGAACTCTTGTAATTTCATCTCTAGTATTTGCTAATAACTGAGGTATATATGGCATTTCTGCATATTTTACGGGATCCATTATTGGTTTGATAAATTTATATCTTGGATCTAGTATAGGTAATGGAACTATTGCTTCCCAATTACTTAATAAATTAAAATTATTATGGGTCTTTTTGGATCGCTAACTCTAATTTGAATAAAGTGAATACTAGTATCTAATACAGCATCATTTTCTATTAGTCCTAATGTTTTGAGATACTCAAATTCTTCTTGAGATAAATATTCATCTATGTCGTTCTGAAAAGTAGAAGAGATAGAGGCTTCTGTATTTTCTCTATTTGATTGAATAGATAGATCAGAAGAGTTAGAAACTTGATCCAAAGAATTATCAGCTTCTGGTTCAATTTGTGAAATTGGAATTAGATTTGTAATAGGAATAATTTGAGGTTGACATAGAAATTTTCTATTCTGAAGATGATGAATAAGCATCCATAACTTTTTGAATGATTTATTACATCTATCACATGTATGAACCATTTTGTATATATTATATAGTTACAGAAGTATATTATATTACTTATATAAAATCTTTTGTTTAATTAATTATTTCTATCAGATAAGAAATTTTTAATACTTGACATTGCTGTAATACTAACAGTAAAAAAACAAATCAGATTATCATAGTTTATTTATACATACATAAAACAGTAAAACAATAGACACCTTTTCATTATCTTAATCATTAACACATTATTTTAAGAACGTATGTACGTATATACGCCTATCGCTACATGCATAATTTCAAATGACACCTATAATAGATACAATTCATTCTATATTAGGGCGACTGCAACTAAAAAAAGGTGATGGGAATATACATGATATACTCAATGGTTAGTATGCGTTAACATGTGGTTCTAGGGTCTTTGATAGTTCTACTTATGATCTTTTCCTTTTTGTTAATTATCACACTATAACTTATTC